ATTATTATTATTATTATTATTATTATTATAGCGCTATGATCCTCACTCTATTTTTGTAGTCTTTTGTGAGTCTCCTTGCCTCAATGGTGGCACTTGTTCAGGTCCCCTCACATGCACTTGTGACTATACTTATACAGGGAATGATTGCTCAAGAAGTATGTGAATATCATTTGTTCATTTTGTTTTATACTGTATTTTATTACTTTCGTTTGCAGGGTTTTGTCCAGCTGATTATTGCAAAGGACGTGGCACTTGTTTTCTTGATGAGTTTGAAGAACCACCAGCTCCATCCTGCAAGTAAGTGAATAGTGTCATCTTTATGGCTTCATGTATATGTTCACACTCCAATACAATTAATCAATGAGTGTGCATTCATAATTAATGTATTATCTTTTTCTTTGTCCAGTTGTGATGGCTATTTTGGTCCAAGATGCAATTTTAAGAGAAGTACTCTCTCCAAAAATGAAACTGCTGGCCTGTCTGCTGGAGTGATCATTGCCGTAATTATTATTATCATTATTGTAGTGGCAGTGGTCATTTTCTTTATAAGGTACGCAGAACAAATGCCCTACTGTACATACATCATTGCTAAAGATGCACAATACTATTATTTTTATAAGTTCTTGTGTATAATTATATTGTTAGACTGATGTTGTATTCCACTTGATTTTATGTTTATTTCTGTCTCTATCAAAGCATACGTAAAAGGAAAGCACAGCGTACCTTAGGGCATTTTGATTCAACTCTTATTCATGTCAACCCTGCTGTCACCCTGTCACCTCTTGAAAGTGGGAGCACTCCACCAAAGGTATAATATAATACCTGTTCAGTACACTATATAATGATGCTTAGTAAAAATTGAGAATTTTCAAACAATTGGCCATAAACTCATATATAGCCACTCACATTTCAAAATAATTTAATGATAAGAATTTATACAGTAGCTCTCGTAATTCTACTACTTTTTTCTTTTACTTGTAGAATACAAATAGCACCAATACTCTTGACAATGACGACACATCTAATGTTTAAAGAAATACACTTGGAGTGTATAATGACAAATACATGTATATAAATGCAAGACATTTTATTGTTACTTAGTCGTATAGATTTTATACACCAATCACTGTATTTTGCTTTATTGTTACCCATTAATTATCATTATTAATGCTAATTACTTATTATTGCTAAATATTGATCCTTATCACTTGTGTCTTTATTCACATGTTAATACTGGTATACAAACAAAATTTTAACTATGATGAAAAATATGATTTGAGTTTCTTTCTTTCCCTCAATCAGTTATTGCTTCATTTAGTACTGTATCTAATACGTCATTGCTTTTGGTGACTTTTAGCAAAGGATCATTTCTCTCGGCTCTTTCAACGACACCTTGTGCCAGTGGGTGTCCTGACCACGCCCTCCTACAAACCTAAAAAACATGGAGTATTTTTTGACATATTTTTCTAATAAACTAACTCCATTCATCACATCCCAGTAAAGCATTCTTTGTGCTCTCTTGGCAGCTTCCTGTAATTATAATATAAACAACAACAACAACAACAACAACAACAATAATAATAATAATAATAATTTCATTTTACTTGAGTTCCATCTAAGACTAAGCCAAATCCACCATTAATGACTTCTCCCCTACGAAAAGAAAAAATTCTCTTGCTTCTCTCCTACTTCTCTTTTCTTACCATCCTACTCCTCCTCCATTGTGAATTGCTACCCAAGTTGCACCTCTGAAGGATCCACCAATGACGTTCTGTATAGCCATATCTAGTGTAACAGGTTTGACAGGTTTTATTAGAAATATTATGCAGTTGCTAACCAGCACAAAATTTTGAGCCATCCTCAATGTTTGAGGTTTCACGAAAAGGACTAGTAGAAAAATATTAAATGGCCTCTTTTCTTTCTATTTCATACTTACCTGTCAGTTCCACTCACATCATGATGATCACGGCTTATAACAACTGGCCCCTAAAATAAATGAAAATTATTACATTTATCTCTCTTTTCTTTCAACCTCTCTCTCTTCATCTTTCCTTTATCTTACTTTTATTCTTCCTTCAGATATTGCAGTGTTAAATCCTAGAGCAATCTCAATCCTTCCTTCATCGTCTGAGTATAATATGCGTGCTTGTGATCCGACTACCTAAACATAAATATCAAACACAGACATCAAAATGAAAACAAAATGTTAGTAAAAGTCTATTTACATTGGCCAATGGGGCATATTCCATCAAAAATGGCTAGGAGAGACTTCTTCATTTTATTATCTGACACATACATGTATATATATGCAGGGTTTTCTACAGAATTTTGGCATAGTGCTCATACAGCTTCGTGTCAGTGAATTGTTAAGCTGCTGCAAAATCAGGTAAAAGTCCCTGTACTATAGTACATGGTCTCAGGCCAAATTTTGCCAAAATTAAAAAAAAAAAATTTCCATTTTTATATATTTTTTTCCTGATGCATATGCATGTATTTATGCTGTGTAGAAAGTTTGAGCTGATTTCGATCAAAATTAGATTTTTTATGAATTTTCTAAGTTGCTCCAAAATCGGGTAAAAGTCCCTGTACTATAGTGCATGGTCTCGGGCCAAATTTCGCCAAAATTGAAAAGTAGAAAATTTTCAATTTTTATAACATTCCCTGATACATATACATGTTCTTATGTTGTGTAGAAAGTTTGAGCTGATTCCGATCAAAATTGGATTTTTTATGAATTTTTTAAGTTGCTCCAAAATCGGTAAAAGTCCCTGTACTATAGTACATGGTCTCGGGTCAAATTTTGCCAAAATTGAAAAGTAGAGAATTCTCAATTTTTATAGCATTCCCTGATACATATAAATGTTCTTATGTTGTGTAGAAAGTTTGAGTTGATTCCAATCAAAATTGGATTTTTTATGAATTTTCTAAGTTTCTCCAAAATCGGGCCAAAGTCACATGGTCTCAAGCAAAATTTTGCCAAAATTGAAAAGTAGAGAATTCTCAATTTTTATAACATTCCCTGATACATATACATGTTCTTATGTTGTGTAGAAAGTTTGAGCTGATTCCGATAAAAATTGGATTTTTAATAAATTTTTAAAGTTTCTCCAAAATCGGGCCAAAGTCCCTGTACTATAGCACATGGTCTTGAGCAAAATTTTGCCAAAATTAAAAAGGAGAGAAATTTCCATTTTTATATTTTTTTTCTGATGCATATACGTGTACTTATGTTGTGTAGAAAGTTTAAGGTGATTCCGAACAAAATTGAATTTTTTTACAAATTTTCAAAGTTGCAAAAGTAATTGTAACTGACTACACACATGTCTAATACATGTCAAAAACAGAATCTTACCATTTCGTGTTTCCCTGCTTCTTTTATCCATTTGGAGTTATCTTCATACTGCTGATGAACAGAGTCTGGTACTAGAATGAGAACATGAAATTATGACACAGATGAGGCGAACATCATACTTCCTCTCTTCATGATATCCTGGAGTACTCTCAGAGCTATCGCATCAGTTTCTGCCAAATCAGAACTCAACCCTGAGGTACAGACCCACCTGCGTGTGTGCAGTGGGAGTTATGAAAGCCATAAAATAAGAATCTAACGGAGTCTTACCTGAATGGCCCAAATCCAAGAGAAAATATGTCACTAAAGAAAGGAAAGAGAGAGAGAGAGAGAGAGAGAGAGAGAAGAAAGGGAATAAGGAGGTGAAAAGAAATGAGAGAGGACAGTCTCCATTACCCCATTATATCTTGTACATACGAAGGATATTTATATTCACCATTTTCCTTCTTAATATCAGCACCTGTAATGCACGAGGTTACAATAACAGGCTCAACTCAATTGACAAACCTGCTCGACCAGATTCCAACAGAAAAGCGTTACCATAATCCCAGAAACGCATACCAGCTGTGCATAGTGCATTAATGGCCTTCACTTGCCTCCTTAAACTGATTTGTATATATTAGTAAAATAAAGAATAATTTTCAGTCTTTTACCTTTCTTGGACAAGACTTTTAAATCTCTCCGGGTCAGTTTTGAGCATTTCTTGTGACTCTGAGTAGCTCAGCTGGGCAGGATAGTACCCACCCCCAAACGGGTTGTGCAAACTGGTTTGATCAGATCCTAGTTCAACAATCAGCTCACCGGTTGCCTTGTACTCCTCTACCATTCGCTCCCTACAAGAAAAATGACAGCTAATTTTTAAATAAAAAACCTAAGACATGATATGATGCCTTTTCCAATGCACTATTCTTTAATTGAGGCGTCACAAAATTTTACTCCACTATTATCAAAATTTTGAAGTTGTTTCAACCCTTGAATTGGAATGTGCCACACTTTTATTTGAAAGAGCTCTCCGTTGAAAACTCTGCTTGTACTTACCACAAGCTGACAATATTTCCATGGTAACCGAGACTCAATGGTGCCTTCTGGCTGCGAGCAGTCCTTATAAAAAGAAAGAAAAAGTTTCCCATGTTTCACTAATTATCGGCAACTAACTTGATTGCTTTGATGCAGTCCTCAAGATCATCAGTCCATTTCATTAACCATCTGACAAGAGAAGAGAATGAACCTTTACCCTCCTCTCCTCTCTCACCCTCTCTCACCCTTGTTCATATCTCTTCAACAAAGCGTCTTTATTCACTTCAGCAATCACGCCCACACATCCTGATATGACAGCTGCTTTGGCCTGGGCCCCACTCATTCCTCCAAGACCAGAAGTGATGAAAACTTTACCAGATAAATCCCCACTACCGAGGTACTTCCTTCCGGCATTTAACACAGTAAGCTAAACAACAACAACACCAACAACAGTAGTATAATAATTATCAATTGACTTTTGTTTACCGTTGTCCCATGTACTATTCCCTGTGGTCCAATGTAGCAGTAGCTACCGGCAGTCATTTGACCAAACATGGTAACACCAAGTGCAAAGAACTTCTCGTATTCCTCCCTTGAAGAGTAATTAGGAATTACCTAAAAATAAAAAATAAAATAAAAACATACATGAAATAACAAAATCAACAATGATAATAATAATAATAATAATAAATCTCTCCTATACCATTCCATTAGTAATGACAAGACGTGGTGCATCAGAGTAACTAGGGAAAAGACCCATTGGATGTCCCGAGTACATTACCAATGTCTGCTCCTCATTCATGTTTGACAAGTAATTCATCAGTAACCAGAACTGAGCCCAGTTTGACAACACTTGTCCATTACCACCATATGTCACTAACTCCTCTGGAAACTAAGAGAGAGGAAACACTAAATTGACAGTGCTGTTGTTTATAGGATTTTTAATGCTACCAATACACATAACAGCAGCTGCACAATTACCTGAGCAACTTTTGGATTCAAGTTGTTCATTATCATGTGCATTATGGCAGCTGCTGCTGGACACTTCACTGGGTATTCCTCTACTGGGTACGCTCTGTCAAAAGATAAAAAAATAAATTAATGTTTTTTGTCTGACCCATCTTACTTCATATCGATTGGCGGAATGAATCGATACATGTAAATGTGTCCATAAGTCTCCAGTTCTTTAAGGAACTCTGGGGCAAGAGTGGAGTGGGCTTCAACCGGAAAATAACGTAAAGAGTTTTTTAGAGCAAGCTAGAAAGAGTATACAATTTTATAACCTGTTGTTTCAACTTACTCTCTTTTCGCTTTGGGTCAATTTTGGATTCCTGACGGGAGCATGAGGCAATGAAGAGCTTCTCTTTCTCTCATGAGGCAAAGGATTCAACGGGAGACCGCCACATATTATCTGAAGAGAGGCAGCCATGGTGTAATTTTACATAATGCTCATTGCTCAGCTATAAAGCCTCACCCATTCTGCATCCGCCCAGCCATAATTTTATTCAGTAGATCTAGATCTAGTCTATATACACAATGTATATAAAAAAATATAATAATAGAATCCTGTTGATGATCAGCTGTGTTTCCTACACCAACCAACTACAAACCGTACTAGACTACATTCCTTGTAGATCTAACCTGTAGTAATTTTTACTGTAATCTGTAAAATGCCTAACCTAGCCAAATGCAGTTCCTTTTTCCCTATCTTCTTTTAAATCCAAAGACTTAAATTCTTATTTCTTCCCCCTCAACCCATAGATAATGCTCACTCTCTCTCTCTTAAAGAGGTACAATGTCTTCAATACTGAGGCACCAGGAGAAGGAACTTTAAGGAAGCAGCAATACAACTAGTTACTATGCAAGTAGTCTACATCATGTACTGCACATATATGAACAAGATATTCATTATTCAGAGAGGTAATTCATACTGTTAAGTTCACATTGTTTCTCAGTTAATGAAAGGTATGATTATGTCTATCACCCACGGAAATTATTTTTAACATTGAGATTTATTTCAAAGAACAAAAACTATCTATCAATAATAACAGGAGCCTTCCCTTTTTTTCATGGGCTCCTGATAATAATAATACATTATTTATTAGTCCTATTAGTCACTTGTACTTTATGGCTTACAAGATTTCTTATTAGCACCTGTATCCTATTTCATATTCCTCATTAATAGTGAAGCATAAATTCATCAACAAAAGATAAGGCTTTCTTGAGTATTTGTTGGTTTGTGGCCCATACTACGAAATAATATTTTGCTGATTTTATAGTTGTTAATGTCACAGTAAAAGTTTTAGTTGGAGGTAATGCAGTATTATAATGCTTTTTCTTGATAATAAGCCTAGCAAAGATATGTCCATACACACCAGCCAGGTAAATTAAGTAGTGTGGTGTGCTTTTGTCATGAGGAGTGAGGTAGGTGTAGTTAGTTGTGAATATTCCTGGACTGTAGCTCAGGCTTCCTTGTACTGTTTCATTGATAGGGTCTGTCAATGAAAAATATTTATTATGAAAGGCAATAAAGATAAGTTATTTTTTGAAACTTATTGAAATTTAGAAAAATTGATAAGTATAAATTTATGCTTCTCAGTTAATGAATTAAAGACATGATTATTACAGGGGCGTATCTAGGAATTGGGGAAGGGGGTGCTGAGGGTGCGCGCCGCGCGCCGCGATTTTGGCCACACCCACTTTTACGGCGGTAAAACGGCCTTTTCCTGCATTTTCGTCAATTACGGGTGGGACCAAGATCATTTTAAGCAAACTGCTATGTTACTGGTACTTCTGATTGCTCCTTAAAGCACTGGAAACTGCTGAAATCATGATAAGGGGGCTAGATAACTTTGTTAAGAGGCTTGGTAGTGATGCAAGAGTCCAGGAGTTCAGTAATTTTTTCTGAGCCCAGTCCTGAGGGGGGTGCTCAAGCCCCCTCAGCCCCCCCCTAAATACGCCTCTGTATTATCATAAAAAAGCAGTATTAACTATTAAGGAAGTATCACCTGTGGGAATTATTTTTAAAACTGAGAATTATTAAAAAAAAAAACATAATTAACCAATAACAATCTATCAATAATAATATTATTTATTAGTCCTGGTATTAGTCACCCATTCCTTTACAGTATACAAGCACATCTATATGGGCATGTACACTATATCATTTTCCTCATTAATAGTGAAGAATACTGACACAAACCAATGAAAACAGTTTTTTGTGTATTTGTTGGCTACTGCCTGTGCTGTGAAATAATATTTTGCTGTAGTTGTTAATGTCAAATTAAAACTCTCAGTTGGAGGTAATGCAGTATTGTAATACTTTTTCTCAATAGCAACACTATAAAAGGCATCTCCAGGGTAGGTATAAAGCAGGTACATGAAGTAGTATGGTATGCTTTTGTCATGAGGAGTGAGGTAGGTGTAGTTAGTTGTGAATATTCCTGGACTGTAGCTCAGGCTTCCTTGTACTGTTTCATTGATAGGATCTGTGAATGAAAAATATTTCAGTATTTACCTATTACAGTATACAGTATTACCTTTATACTGTATAGGGGTTATATTTCACTGGAAAAAAGTTTCGCGAATTTTGTGTTTTCATTAAATTCGACAAAAGAAGTGTGGCACACTAGAGAAAATGGCTGCAGAAGGTAGGATTCGCGAAAATTTATACCAAAAAA